CAAGAGTTAATTCTATAGTTATTGAATGCTTGCCACATGCAGGGGAATGCATGAGGAGTCAGAGATACAAACTTTGTCTTCAGGAAGCAGAGTAAGGGAAGGTGGAAATAAGACTTTTTATATGCTATGACCTAAAATCTTGAAATGTATATATTTAAGTCCAAAAGGAATATAGAGGAATTTGAGGAGGTTTATTTATCCTAAAAGGATGAGTAAGGTTGTACAAAAATGGCAGCAATTTTTATCAATTTGCAGAGCAAAGTTAATATCTAGAGATATGTATTTTTATCTACACAATGAGAGTAAAGACAACTACTGAGACCGATAGGATGTAGAATAAAATTGGAATTTTAAGGATATAGTTTTGGAATTACTGGTATGGAAAATTTAGGAAATGCTACTAAGGCAAATAACAGGTAATATTTTGGCTCAGTTAAATCTAGAAATTGTATATTTGTACAAATTGTAAATTGTATAGATCCAGACTTTGATGTAATATGCTTAAGCAAAAATCACCCAATAATACAGGAAATGAATAGATAAAACCAATCCAAGCTGGAGGATATAGACAAAGTACAGTTAAAAATAAAACTACTGCTATTATAGTCTTAGTTGTTGCAACTGCTAATGATATATATATTATATCCTGTCAATAATCATCACCTGCTAACATCACCAAATCATAGGCAGTGGTCCATATTTATTTTCTAATGAAAATCTTCAGCATGAAATACTACTGCCAAAAATTAAGCTAAAACTGATCAATCTCCTATATTTAGTTACTACCTTATAAGAACAGAAGAGGAGGCATGATAAAGCCAATCACATCAACATGGATGTGACCAACAAAAATCCACAAAGAGGGAAAGGTCAAATTAGGCCTATTTGCAGATGGTATGATTCTGTACTTAGAAGGCCCAAAAGATTCCACCACAAAACTATTGGAACTGATCACTTCAGTGCTGTGAAAAAAGGCATAAAATCAACAACAACAACAAAAAAAATCAGTAGTTTTTCTATATGCCAACAATGAAGGGGCTGGAAAAATGTCAGAAAAATAATTTAATTCACAGTAGCCTTTAAAAATACTTAGGTATGAAGACCTATAGCCATCTAATCTTCGATAAGGGAGCTAAAAAAATAGAATGGAAGAAAGACAGCCTCTTCAGTAAATGGTGCTGGCAAAATTGGTTAACTACTTGTAGAAAACTAAAGCTAGATCCTTATATATCACCCTGCACCAGAATCAACTCCAAATGGATCAAAGACCTTGAACTCAAAGCAGACACTCTGAAAACATTACAGGATGGAATAGGAGAAACCCTAGGTCTCCTTGGCACAGGCCCAAATTTTCTTAATAGAGACCCAGAAACAAACACAACAAAGAAAGATTGGACAAATGGGATTGCATGAAATTGCAGAGCTACTGCAGTTTCATAGCTAGCAAGATCAATAGAAAGCCCACGGATTAGGAGAAGATCTTCACTAGCCATACAACAGACAAGGGTCTCATATCTAAAATATACCTGGAACTCAAAAAATTAAATCCCCCAACAACAACTCTTTAAAGAAACAACTGCCCAATATATAAGTGGACTAAAGACTTAAAGAGGAACTTCTCTGAAGAGGAAAGAAGGATGGCCAATAGACACATGAAGAAATGCTCAACCTCCCTAGCCATAAAAGAAATGCAAATCAAAACAACATTGAGATACCACCTCTCTCCAGTTAGAATGGCAAAAATCAAGAACTCTAATAACAACAAATGCTGGAGGGGATGTGGACAGAGGGAACCTTCCTGCATTGTTGGTGGGAGTGTAAACTTGTTCAACCACTTTGGAAAGCAGTATGGACTCCACATAGAGCTCCCCTATGATCCAGCAATCCCACTTTTGGGCATTTACCCAAATGTTTATAAACAAGACCATACTAAAGCTACCAGCATGACTATGTTTATTGCAGCATTATTTACCATAGCTAAGATATGGAACCAACCCAGATGCCTCAGTAGATGAATGGATCAAGAAAATTCCAATACACAATGGAATTCTATGCCTCCATCAGAAAGAATGACATTGCCCCATTTGTTAGGAAATGGAAAGACTTGGAAAAAATTGTTTTAAGTGAAGTAAGCCAGGCCCAAAGAAACATAGGTCCCATGGTTTCCCTTATTTGCAATATCTAGTATGTGTCTGAGTCAAGCAGAAAAGGTCAGATAAGGTGATGTTAGGGAAATGAACCCTAAGATATGTATTCAAATGTTTTTTTCTTTCATGCGATTGTTTCTAACACATTTATAAGATTATTTCTTTGTTGCTTTGTATGTACCTCCCCCATGGTATAACCCCTGCTTTCACTGTATTTGATGTCAGTATAATTTGTGGAGGGGAAGGGGAAAAACAAATTGTTTAAATAGGGATACAGGTGGACCCATTGCAACAATGAGATGTACAAGTGGTTATGTTGAAAATGAACTTTACAACTTGGTGAGGGGGTGGGGGAAGGTTAGTAGGGGCAGGGGAAGGATGGGAAGGGATGGGAAGGGGAAACAAAGGAGGAGGCTACAACGCTTGATTATTATCTTACTCATTATCTTGGTCATGTCATTGTAACCCCTCTGTACAGTATTTTCATAAAAAAAAAATAACAAAGAAAGACTGCCATAATGAAAACTATAAAACCTTGAAGAAATAATATGAAGAATACACCAGAAGATGGAAATTTTTCACATGCTCATAGATCAGCACAATGAATATTGTGAAATGGCAAGATTACTGAAAGCAATGTGGTACTCATCAAAATTCCAATGTCACTCCTCACAGAAACAGGAAATGGAATCCTAACATTCATATGGGAGTATGAGAGACCCCACATAGCGAAAGTAACCCTGAGCAGAAAGCGTAATGCAGAAGGTATCATGATACAGGGCCTGAAATTATACTACAGAGCTGCAGGACACAAAATCATCATGGTAGTGGCATAAAAACAGATACAAAACCAATGTAACAGAATAGAAGATCCAGAAATAATGCAATATAGATACAACCATCTGATTTTTTTACCCAAAAAAAAAAGCCAAAAATATACACTGGAGAAAAAAGACTCTTCGCCAAATGGTGCTCAGAAAACTGACTATATACATACAGAAAACTGAAACTAACCTCCTATCTCCTACTCTGTACAAAAATCAAATCCAAATGCATCAAAGATCCAGTTTAAAACTCTGAAACTGCTATAAGAAAACAGGAAAACTCTAGAAGATATATGTGTAGGTGATTATTTTCTGAATAGGTCTCTAATTGCCAAGAAAATAAGAAAAAAAATTACATATGGGACTTCATTAAAAAGTTCCTGCACAGAAAACAAATCAGCATAATAAGATATGTAAAAATGGGAGATTATCTCTCCCAGCTATTGAATGGATTAACATGAAGAATATACAAAGTACTCAAAAAATGAAATAGTTAGAAAACAGATTATCCAGATAATAAATGGGCAAATGAATGAAACAGTTCTCAGAAGAAATATAAATGGCTAATAAACATGAAAAAGCTCAACATCCTTAGCCATAAAGGAAATGCAAATCAAAACTACTCAGATTCCATCTCACCAGTCAGAATGGCCATCATCTAGGAGACAATAAAAATGCTAATGCTGATGTGAGAAAAAGGAGACCTTAAACACTATTGGTGGGAATATAAACTAGCATAACTACTACCGATGAGTATGGAGATTTCTCCCAAAACTAAGAACAGATCTACTGCATGACCTTGTCATATTACTCTTGGCATATATCAGGAGTGCAAATCAAATACAAGAGATATAAATGCATACCCATATTTATTGCAGTTCTGTACATTCCAAAGTCAAACTTTGGAATCAACAACCAATGAATAAGAAAAATATGGTTCATATGTATACCATGAAATATTACTCAAACATAAAGAACAATGAAATTAAGTCATTTGCAGGAAAGTGAATGGAAATATAGATCATCATGTTGAGTGAGGTAAGTCAACCTCAGAAGGGAAGATCTATCACATTTTCACTCATTTGTGGAATGTAGATAAAAATATACACACAAAATATATTCACACACATACATACATACACATATATACATATATGCATGCATGTATATATCCATATACATTGTATGTATATACAGATATACATATATACATTCATGTATATATATCCATATACATTGTTGCATTTATAGATAAATGTATAGTGTTAAAGAAATAAGTACACTGTGACACAAAAGTGCACCATTTCTGGCTATGGAAAACATGAAGGACATAATAGGAACTTGGTAGAAAATTACATGCGCCAGAATCCCAGATCATCCTTAAGGCAGTCCAGTGACCTTTAATAAAGAAGATTAGAGGCAGAAGGAGGCAGAATGACAGTAACAATTACTGTCCTTTTTTCAAAATAGTGATTCTGCACTTCTGTCTTTGGTTCTATCAGTTCTCCAAAATATGTTAAACTAACAGGTTTGTAAGGAGTTGATGCAGAGCTCTTTGTTGCACAAAGTAATAACTCCCCTGCTTTCTTCCAAATCTGAAGTGCAGAATATCATCAGAAATTTAAACATCAAAGAAGCTGAACTTAGCTACATTGCAGGTAAGGAATTCTAACTAATGGTTAGAAGTGGCAAAGAAATATTCAGCACAGAAGTATATCTTTTCCTTTGCCTACAAAAAAAAATCTGAAAATTTCAGTATGAAAATCATACCAAAATTTCAGTATGATTTTCTTTTACCCTCAAAGAATTGCTTTCTTCTTCAAATACAATTTTCTAGTAAAATGTTTGTACTGAATTATTCCCATCATTTTTTCTAGACCTTCAAAAGACTCTTTAAATGGAGAAATAATCTTAATAATGGTTATTAGTCATTCCTGTTGTCAAATTGTATAAAGTGTAGCCTTTTAGGTGACAAAACGTGTGAGCTTATAGTATTCAAGAAAATTTCTATATAAGAAAATTCACTTACTTTCCTATTTTCTGTGCACAATTGACAAGTCTTCTTTTGAGCACATACTACAAGAAACAAATTAAGTACAAATATGAAAATCTAAAGCCTATTTATTTATTGCCCAATGTTCTTAAAACGAGCATTTCATTTCGTTAATCCTGTTTCAGGCTATATTCATTCATTGTCAAGAATTTTATTTCATTATTTTCTTATCTCTAGATACTTTCCCAAAAGCATATCCCAATCCTTATTTCTTCTTGTTACTGAGAAAACTATGAAATGGCATTATTCATTGTAGATTAGCAAAGTTTTGCAAAATAATTTCCTAACAAATGAATTGGCAATCTTACAATAATCTTTAAAACATCATGGGGGAAGCATGGTAGAGACTTTCTTCCTCTGACTCCATGAATGAACAGTCTGAGAACAAAGAAGAGACTATTTGAAAAAAGAAAAAAAACAAACTGAAGAAGAGCACCAAGAACAATGAACAGGACAACTGGAAAGTGTGGAAAAACAGAAGGGCAATGGATAAGTCTAGCAATCAGCTTGCAGCTTCATTCCTTCCTTCCCTCTTGGGGAGAAGAGCAGATAAAGACCCCTACACAAGGCAAATCACATGATCTCTGTATCAGAACAGAAGACCTACATGATCCTGCAAGCATCAAACGTAAGTGTGGGGATTTGGTGGACATTTGGTGGACTAGTAACTTCCTATATCAGGAAGAGCAACCGGGAGGCACAGGCACCCTCTGGTGTGAGGGCCTCCTGGTTGAGATAGTATCCAGGGTATGGGATTTAATTATCAGCCACTTTTAGCAGCAGGTTTTAAGAGACATACAGGGGGCCTGGGCCAGAGAAACAATCCGTGATTGATGTGATTGCAATGCACCAGGTAGCTAGAAGCCATAGAAGTTTACATAGAGAGGGAGAAATGACCTTCTGTTCAAGTAGAACAATTTCATTGGCAACCTTAGCTTTATAGGGTATTTCTAAGTAATTCAAATTCTACCTCTGCCTATACAGCTCCCATTTAGGATATTAAAAGTCTCATTTCCAGGCTCATAAATTCAATGTGTCATAACTTTCATATTTCAAAATTTCTTCAGATGAAAGGAAAAGGTACAAACAGAACTAATCAGCTAATCAGTTCTTGAAGAAAAAACTACAATTAAGCAGTTTATTAGCTAACATCATAAAGCACTAGGAATAATAGCTCTGGTTATTAAGTTGACTCTAATTAGAATATAACCCAGAAGCTCACTCACATCACAAAGCTTATATGCTATATGGCTCATGCAGAAGGTGAGAGTTGCTTCTCTTTTTTCTTTTCTTTTTTCATCTTTGAGTCAAGTTCTTTCTAAACAGCCTGAGCTGACCCTCAACTTGTAATTCTGCTTCCCAGGTTCTCAAATGCAGAACATCTGGCTATTTTTCATTAATTTTGTGTTTATGTGTCCTGATTGGCCGGATGTTGGGGGTGATGAAAACAGGGCCTGGGTGTTTCCCTGAGCTGATTTTCCTCAAGGCTAGTGCTCTACCATTTGAGCCACAGCTCTACTTGCAGCTTTTTGCTAGCTAACTGGAGTTAAGAACTTCATGGACTTTTGCCCAGGCTGACTTCTAACAGCAATCTTCAGATCTCAGCCTCCTGAGATTATAGTAATGAGCCACTAGTGTCCAGAATGCTTCTCATAAATTTAAATTTACTTTACTCCATTTTTCATAGTTTAGATAAAGCAAATTAATTTGAACCTAATTCAAGCAGATTTCCTGGAAACTGTCCAGAGTCTTTAAAAATGTCTTCCCAACAGCAAACAGCAACTTTACTTGTGGGGGGAAGGGTACTAGGGATTAAACTCATGGCCCTGAAAGCACTCCACCACTGCAGCCATACCTCAGCCCTTTTGTTTGTTTTTTGGTTTTTTAGATAGGTACTCTAGCTTTTGCCTAGGCTGCCTTCTGACTATGATTTTCTTACCTCTCTTTTAAGTAGATGGGAATACAGGCTTGTGCCACTGCTTCTAGCCCAAATGATAATTTTTAAGATGGAAATTTCAAGTGATCCGGATGCCACAACCATTGGAAAGATGAATGGTGGTGTTTATGCACCACCAACCTAAGAACTATGGATCACTCACCTTCTTCAAGGGACATATTTGTGTCTTGATTGTTCCTGCTGTTGTAGATTTGGGAAGATCTATTATCTGAAAAGCTGATAAGGAGTTGGATGAGAACTAGGGAAAGGAAGACTGGCAGGAAAACCTGGCTCCAGACCCTCAACCAGCACATTGCTCCTCCCTCCTAGCAGTCAGGTCAATAGGAAATAGGGGGATATTGAGCACTGAGTTGGTAAAGTGGACCTGCTTAGAGACTGTGACCCATGACAGCCCAGGTCTTGAGGTTCCCTCTTCCAAGAGCTGGATTCCACACAATTAGCAGAATTTTAGAACTGTCAGTATTCTGGCCAGAATGCAGAATGTTGAGAATGCAATCCTAGCTTTTTAAAAATTTTTTATTGTGAAAATACTGTACAGAGGGGTTACAATTACATGGGCAAGATAATGAGTACATTTCTTATTGAGCATTGTAGCCTCCTCCTTTGTTTCCCCTTCCCATCCTATCCTCCCCCCATTCCCCCACCCAACCCTCCCCCCCACACACACCAAAGTTGTAAAGTTTGCAATCCTAGCTTTTTGCTGGACTGGAGGACTCTGGGTCCTGAACACCATATATATGTTCATTCACGGGACTTGATTCAGTCTCTTTCTCTCTAAAGCTAACTTATTTTCCTTGCTATTATGCAGTTTCCTAACAAAGGCTAAGATTTCATATCCCACTACTCCACAACATCTAAACTAGTTACTCCTTTCTGGTGGCCTTTCTTCACAGGGAAACAAGGAAATGAAACCATGCCATGCCATGAAAGTAAGTAGCCATGTCATGAAACTCCAAGCTCAGAAAATGCTTGATTTTTGTCCTTGACTAGTCTGATGATCCTCTCAGTGTACTATAATACAGTTTCCCCTTACAAAGTATATTTTAGGTGGTATAAAGATGACTATCTTCTATTCTTATAGCTATGGATTTATTTTAATATGTATTAGAAAAATATAAGTATATATGTATTAGAAAAATATAAGTACAACAATATAATAGAGACTATGAACTTTCCTTTTAAAAAAAATCTATGTTAGCCAGGCGCTGGTGGCTCATGCCTGTAATCCTAGCTACTAGGGAGGCTGGGATCTAAAGATCATAGTTCAAAGCTAGCCAGGACAGGAAAGTCCTTGAGTTTTTTTTTTCTTTTCGCTTATGTGGTGCTGAGGAATCAGACCCAGGGCCTCATGCATGCAAGGCAAGTGCTCTACCACTGAGCCACCTTCCCAGCCCCAGTCCTTGAGACTCTTATCTCCACTAAACCACTAGTAAACCGAAGTGGCACTATGACTCAAGTAGTAGAGCACTAGCCTTGAGATGAAGAGCTAAGGGACAGTGCCCAGACCCAGAGTACAAGCTCCATAATCCCTTCCCCCCCAAAAAAAAATCTATGTTAAAATAAATAGAAAGTCTATGGAATGGGATATGATTTCTTTTACCAGCCTCATACCTAAAATATACTTAGAACTCAAAAATTAAATCCCCCAAAAATAAACTCAAAGAAACAATTCAATTAATAAATGGGCTAAAGACTTAAAGAACAACTTCTCAGAAGGAGAAGTAAGATTGGCCAATTGACACATCTCTGGCTATAAAAGAAATGCAAATCAAAACAACATTGAGATTCTACCTCACCCCAATCAGAATGGCCATTATCAAGAAAACATGCTGGCAGGGACACAAATCTCTTTTTTCTTTCTTGCTATTGTTTCTAACATATTTATAATGTGCCATGTATTTTTTTGTTGTTGTTGCTTTGTATGTTCTTCTCCCATGATATAATCCCTATTTTCACTGTATTTGATGTCGGTGTCCTGCATCTTGTATATACACTTCTCTAATTTGGGGAGAGGAAGGGAAGAAATGCTTAAATAAGGATACAGGTTGACCCATTATAACAATGAGATGTACAAAACACTATGTTGAAAACGAACTTTACAACTTTGGGGGGAGGGGGTAGAGTAGTTGTGGAGGTGGGGAGAGGGATGATAGGGGGAAAACAAAGGAGGAGGCAACCATGCTCAATAGGAAATGTACTCATTACCTTGCTCTTGTAACTGTAAGCCCTCTGTACAGCATTTTTACAATTAAAAACATACAAAAAAATGCTGGCAGGGATGTGAACTCTACCACACTGTATTTGGGAATGAATGTAAACTTGTTCAACCACTATGGAAAGCAGTATGGAGGAACAGTATAGAGCTTCCCTATGGCCCCGCAATGCCACTCTTAGACATTTAGTCAATTGACTACAAGCCAGGCCACAACAAAGCTACCAGCACAACCATGTTCCTTGCAACATTACCATGGCCAAGATAGGGAATCAACACAGATGCCCCTTCAGTGGACACAACGGAATTCTATACATCCATCAGAAAGAATGATATTGTACCATTCATAAGGAAATGGAAGGAATTGGGAAAAAAATTAAGTGAAGTAAACCAGACCCAAAGAAACATAGGTTGTATGGTTTCCCCTCATTTGTGGTAACTGGAATGTGCCTATAAATCTACAAGTAAAGATACTGGATGACTAAAAGAAATTCCCTGGGACATGATAAATTATACAGGCATTCACACAGAGTGAGACCAAAGGAGGATATTCTTAGGAGAAGATCACATAGGCACAACAGCTATGTGCATCTGGCCATATAAAATATTTTTCAAAATGAACTCCAGGAAGTGGAAATAAGAGGTTATTTTTTTTTCTTTTTGCTGTTTTTGTTTTCATTTTGTCTGGTGTGTTCATTTATCTGTCTTTGGGAGAGAAAGGCAGGGCACAGAAAGGGTAGCACCAAAGGTGAACAAATGTAGCAATGATACTCACTAGATCCTATATTTAAAATGAACTATGCAACTTGTGGGTGCGGTGAAAGAGAAAAACTGGGAGAGAGTGAATGAAGGGGTGACATTGTTCAAAAAGAAATGTACTCTTCATCTGACTAAGGTAACTGTAACCCGTCTGTACATTCCCTTTACAATAACTATATTTTTTAATCTGTTAAAAAGTTGCCTTTCAGAAATAGTAGTATGCAACTTAAAGGATAAAGCAAGAAATGGGAAGATGTGACAGAATGACTGAAATTCAAGCAAAATGAGTGTAAAAATGAGACAGCTGAGAGGAAAGTGATGGAAGCATGTCTTAGCTACTCAGAGTATATAATGCTCCATTTTTTCAAAAATAAGTGATGCAGTTGTCTCAGACATTTCTGGTATTTGATCTAGACTGTGCTTTGAGGATAATGGATCTAGTACTGGAAATAAACATGGGGAAAGAGAAATGTGCTCAGAGATTGCGTTTTCCTTGCCTATTTGCAATGCAAAAAGCAGAAAGAAGACTATCAGTTATATGAAATGTGCTCTTATTAACTATTAAGAAAAGGACAAAAAGAAAATAGCAACATAGATAGGGGATATAAAGAATCTATCTACAAAAAAATCAAATTCAAGTCCAGAATAAATACCATGGAAAATATTCAAACACTAGAACTAGAAAATTAATCAATGCAATTATGAACTATCAATTTGTACCTGGCAGGTAGGCAAGCAATTAAAAAGAAAGCTAATATACATCACTGACAAAGATGTGAAGGGAAAGCTACCATGATGCCTTTTGTGGCTGTGAATTGTTTCAGTGTTTTTGAGGAGCAAAGTTACTAAAATTAAAGATCCTCTATCTATATAGGGAATATACGTACTTGGGGACTGTGTCTCACTGCTCTTCAGTTCTTATAGTTTAGATGAAGCATAAAAACATAGAACTAAGCAACCCAGAGCATGGGATTTTCCTGGCATCATGAATGGCTAGTTGGTAGCACTTAACCTAAGTGTGCCCAATCTAAGACAATCTGAGGCTTTTGCTGAGCTTGCTGTGATTGAGATGCCCCTCTTTTTCTGGATTCAAACTTGGAAGGATTTGGCCTCCTTGGCTGACTCTTGGACTCCTTTGCTACTAAAATCCATACTGGTATTGTATGGAGTATGGCTATAAAAATGCCTATGTCAAAGCATAACTGACTGACAACCCCTCAGATTTCTGTACCATACTCATTCCAAGGCCAAGGATTTCATCTACATAATAGCTTGTAGGACTTAGAAGTGTCCCTCTGTCAAGACTAAATGTGGCAGGGAGACTAGTGTGGAATACCTTCAATGGTATATCTATATCCAAACCTACATGTGAGAAGTGTTTTTGGAACTGTGCTGTACTTAGAAACACTGCCAGTTCATTTTCCTTCTGTTTTCTCTCCTTCACAGAAGTCAAAGCTGAACCACTGTTTGAAGGTTCTCTTTACTTTCAGTAGCTCCCTCTGCTTTGTCTTTTCCAATATTTCTTCCAATAAATTTCTTAAATTTCTGATCCCAGTCTGGCAGATGATTCTCAAAGAATCCAAACTAACATAAATGGCAACAGAAGTGTCTCTGTCTTAGTCTGTTGTAGAATACTGCCCATTTGATACTAGTCTGCTAGGAGTTCCACACAACTTAAAAGTTGTGATTCTGGAGACTAGAAAGCCAAGATCTAGGTGTTGGCAAGGATGATTTCTCCTGAGGCTTTATAAGTGCAGACAACCAACTTCTCATTGTGTCCTGACTTATTCTTTCCTCTGTGTATATATACTTTGTTCTTCTTCTTCACCTAAGGACAGCAGGCCTCATGGGATATCGCCTACTCTTATGGCCTCATTTAACTACTTAGGATTGGCTTCGTAAAGGCCCTGTCTCCAAATACAGTCAGGATAAAGTTTAGGCCTTCAATATACAACCTTGGGAGGGAGATATAATTCAGCCCATAACAATTACATAAGTCATCATTTTATTTACTCTTCGTCTTTTGGAACTGTTCAAAAAAGTAAAAAGTAAACATTATCCTTATGCATAAACCACTTATATTGTTTTCTTTCCTTTTCCATGGTTTCAAATTACCTCTATTCTTGACTTAATCATTTCCTAATCAAAAGGAAACGTACGCCTATTAAAATTGCTTTTCAATCCTCACCAACTTTGCATTTCATAGGTGTAGAGATCATATTTGTAAAATATCTAGACAGGAAAGAAATAGCCTCAGACTCAGAAGAAGCAATTCATGGCCCTAAATGTGTAAATGTTACTATTCATGCCACAGAGATGGCC